AGCCCTCCAGGCCTGCTGTTTTAACTTCGATATTGATGGTCTCTGCACATTGCCTCATTCTCTGTGTGGCTGTGGTCCTGGAGGTGGCAACGATGGCCCCCTGGATGCGCCAGGACCCCATCCTTATTTTGAAGTCCCTCGTCAAATAGCTGCTCTTGCTATATCCATTGATGTTTACAAATCCTGGGGATTAGGGAGCAGGCATGCCTTTGCAAGAGATTGTTCATTCTCCCAATGTGCCCGTCACTCTCCTCACTAATGCTTTCACGCTTCTCAGTAATACTCCATCCTTTGCAGTACACGGTCATTCGGAGACTCTTACCCTATGCAAGATTTATTCCTCAGTGGTTCGTAATTTTTTATGATTCTTTAGGTGATACAAATTTCTTTTTCTGATTGTTGCTAGCCTGTACACATTTAATTGATTTTTTTGCATTGATCTTGCCTCCTGCAACCTTGCTAAAAGCATTTGTTCCAGCATTTACTTGGCCGATTCCATTGGGTTTTCTCTGTCGAGAGAGGGTCAGGTTGGCTGTGAGTAAGCATAGTTTGACTTCCCAGTTTACATAGAGATGCTTTGGAAATTTGTTTTTGTGTGTGTGCTGTTGCTGTTGCCATCCTGTGCTGGTGAGGACCTGCATTAGAAAGCTGCGTGCACAGAGGCAGGACTGGGAGTTCTCAACTGGCCACTGGTACTGGGGCAATGACTTTCCAGTTTCTTGTGTTTGCTTTTTGACCCTCGGAGTTTCCTTCCTTTCTTAAGAGTAAAGCTGTTTTAAAGAAAGGGCTTGTTATGTTTTTCAAGCAGTTTAATGATGGGAACTTTTACCCGCAAGCTGTCTACATAGTTTCTACTCTGCTGTTTCGTGAGATATCTACTACTACTGTTGTTGTCGTTAGGTGCCTGGGCGTCAGCTCTGACGCACAGTCAAAGGAAGCCCTGCCCAGTCCTGCAGCATCCTCACCATTGCTGTTAGGCCTGCGCTGATTGCTGCAGCCCCTTGTCAATCCCTCAAGGCCAGGGAAGTCCTCTCTTTTGTTGCTTTGCTACTTTACCCAAAATGATGTCCTTTTCCCAGGATCTGGTCTCTCCTGGTAACATGTCCAGAGTACGTGACATGAAAGCCTTACCATCTTCGCTTCTAAGGAGCTTTCTGGCTGTGTTTCTTCCCAGACAGATCTGTGTGATCTTGTGGCAGTCCATGGTGCTCTGGATTTTCATCTCAAGCACCATGATTCAAATGCATTGTTTCTTCTTCACTCTTCTGTATTGAGTGTCTGATCTTTACATGGACAGGAGGTGTTTGAAAATACCATGGCTTGAGTCAGGCGCATCTTCATCCTCAAAGTGACGCCTTACTTTTAACACTAGGGCTACGGCTCGTCATTAACTTTACTGTGTCTTTCATGTGATCGTGAGAGAAAATAATTAGATCATACTTTGGACAGACGCTGTGTAGTCAGACACGTTAGCTATCCTCCCCTAGGAATAGAGTCTCAAACTCACTGCCATCCAGGCAATTCCAACTCGGCGACCTTTTACGATAGTGTAGAACTGTCCCTCTGGGTTCCTGAGACTGTGACTCTTAATGGTGTGGAAAGGCCCATCTTTCCCCCAGGAAGTGACTGGTGGTTTTGAACTGCTGACCTAGAGGTGAGCAGTCCCACTGATAGCCACGATGCCACCCAGGGTCCACAGACACATATTTCAGCCAAAGTCATTGCATGTGTGTACGCTTCATCTGAGCACCTGGTTAGTTTGCATCTGCTGACGTTCAGCACCTCAGTAAGTTGTAGCTCTACTGGTACTTCTGCTGTTCATCAATTTACTTTGTTCTCTCTGACGGGGGCACATGGAAATTGCGGTTTAAAGAGGCACTAAACCCGAGCCTAACTTATCATTTTGCCAGGTTTGAAAAATTCTTCTGTGGTATGCTAAGACCTTCTATTAAGATTAAGAGCAGGAACCATTAGTTACAGCATATGGTTTCAGACAAAAATGCCATCGCAGGCATAATCTACTAATTTGTTGATTGATGATGGGCTTTTGCTGCAAACAGCCTGCAAATCAATTTACGGAGTCCCAGCTGTCAGCTTCTAGAGAGTCTGAGTTGAGATCAGGGCTCCCTGTACCACCAAGGAAGGGGGCATATGCCTTCTCTTTTTGCAGTTGCCCCCTAACACCTTCATTGTCTTTAGGTCCGGCTGATTCACGAGAACTCTACAGCTCACTTTACCAACACAGTGAATCATTCAGACACTTCTTTCTTCTACGGTCTCCTCCAATTCCTAGGAGTTCTGATCGAACATCTACTTCTCCTTAATCTCTGACTTTCTACCCTCTCAGGAATGTAGAATAGCCTGGCTTTGGGTTTTTGTCCTGAACTTTGATGGATTGTTCCCATTTAGGCTTCCCGTCTGTGATGCACATTTTAACACACCAACGTATAAAGATGGCCCACCCGTGCTTCTTATTTGATCTCCTGTTACCTCTTATTTGGAAATGATCATTTCAGACCCCAGGAATTTTTAAATGACCATAGACTTTCAGACACTAGTCCTGTCTTTTCATTTTACGATCAACCCTAAAAATTAGATGCACCCACCACCCCCCATCAAGGAGAGAGGTTAAAGAAACAAAATGGGTTTAGTTTTCCAAATGAACCAATCCTGTTAATGTTTCATTTAAGAAGACATTGGTAGTTATTCAGTTTTTAAACTGAATTGTATTGCCATCCGTAGAAAACGTGCATCTTATGAGAGGGGACAGGGTCGCTCCCTCTTCTCACATACTGTCCTTTCTGTAGAGCTCTGGGACGGCCAGATGGGGCATGAGACCAGTTCTGCCCGCTGCCCCAGTGCTGGCTTTCCATCCCTTGCTAGTGGGTGAGGCCCGTGGCTTTCTGCCTCCAGCAGTACTAGCTTTCATTGTGGATTCATAGGGAGATTGTTCGGCTAGGAGAGAATCATATTGAAACGAAGGTCGTTCCCACCCACATTTAGGCTGATTGTGCGCTTTTCTTTTCAGTGTGCTTCCTATCTTTTAAAAAAGCCATGTTAATAATGTAAAATCCAAGTCTAAGAATATTTCCCAGAAAAAAACTTGAATAACATAATAAAGACCTTGTAGATGTAGATGTCGCCTATGAGGGGGCTTCAAAACTTTTGTGGAAAAATTCTATTTTATTTTTCCGAATGAACCAATTTGGAAACCTTTCCATTCCATTTTCCCCCACAGGCTTCTTGAAGCCCCTCATATGTCTGAATTCATTTTAATGCACACTTATACATATAGCTCCAGACTCAGCCAGGATTTTAGTATTAAGCAAGGAGTGTAGTAGACTGCTCGTTGAGGCCGCCAGGACCAGGAGGTCTTACATAATATCCTCATGTCCTACATGTATTACAGGTTCCAGAGGTTTCTAATGTAATTTTGGGAAGTGGAACAGGCATCCTAACTAGGATTCACTACCATTCAGCTTTTGTTTACTTTTGGGAAACATCCGTATAATCCCATTAGCTCTAATGAATATTCTCAGTTATTATTTCTGCCAGCAAATGGTATTTCTCTTCATATGTGCAGGCCCTTTTTAGTATATGGACTTAATAATTTTTAAAAGGTCCTTTTGGCTGTTAAAGTTACTCTTAAATAACAAACTCAGCCATCATGGATTTCCCAAGCTTGCATGGCATAATTTAGCTCCTAAATTTCCCATCCTTTTAGTCTGAACACAATTTAGTTTTTTAACGGACAAGTCCTCTTGCTGGACAGACCAAGCTGTAGAGTATCTGAATAATGTTTTCCCAGGAAAGGCTATAGTAGATTCTTGTAAAGAATATGACTGGCAAGTTTTTGACCCGATCGGGATGATTTTAAATTAAAATTGGAGAGGAGGAAGAACTACTCTGATCAAACCCCAGAACCAGGTGTCAGGAGACGCGGGGCTGCCCCAGAGCAGCGCCAGGACCAAAACACGTGGCTTCAGCCATCTAGGGCACAGATTCAGGTGGTAATTTCTAACTATAGATAGCGGTAAGATATCAAGAAGTATCCCTGAAACTTGATGAACAAGTAATTGTGTCTGGACTCTACCCATGGAAAAGTACAGTTTTATTCAATAGAATCCTACATTACCTCATTTAAGAAATCAGAGAAGTTACCCAGCGTTGAGACAAGATGCCCCCAGAGGGCGTCCTGTAACCCTCAGGGTGAAAAGTGTAGGACTTAGGAAGGAGAAGCGGACATTCTGCCCCTGTGGAAGGCAGTGGGACAGGGACCACCAGATCCTTCTCCTGTTTAGGGTCTTCAGAAAACTCCTGGTTGCCACGATCTCGTGACCCCGCGGCCCGCGGCCCCACAGGTGTGTTAGAACAGGGCTGCGTTCCACGGGGTTTTCCAGGGCTGATTTCTCTGGGAGACCTTGCTTCCAAAGGTCCAGTGGTGAACTAGAAGAACCAGGCAATTTCCGGCTAGCTGCCCAGCATGGTGCGCACTGCATTTACAAACACGAGATCCCTGTGAAGGACGAGAGGCAGGACAGTGGGGTTGGGCACCCCTCTGGGAAACTGTCAGGTGGGCCCGCTGGCAGCTTTGGAGGTCCATGCAGTGCACGCTCCTGGCAGCCACCAGGTTCTTCCACGGCTCCAACTCTCCTGGTGGTCTTCTGCTGGGCCCCCGAGCACACGTAGCCCGAAGCTTCATTCTCTGCCTTCATTGCCTGAAATCTCCCAGCTTCCATCTCCTGTCATTACCTGACCCCCATCCCCCCCAAATCAGATGTACAATGCGTATGTATAATATTTACATAGATACATTGTTTAACTAGCTATAACTGTTTATAATTTTACAAAAAATATATATACTTAGTCGGATTATGATGACCGCCCCCCACCAAAAAAAAAAAAAAAAAAAGTAGGAAAGGAAGAAAGAGAGGGAGAGTCAATGTCCCATAAAGCGGTGGGAATTTAAAGTCGACCTTCTCTCCTGTTATCTCCTGCAGTTTGGCGTCAAGAAGAACTTGCACGCATTGACCAGCTTTTCACGGGAGCCGAAAGGAAAGCGGCTCTCTGTGAACTGCTGGAGAAAGAGAGCCAGCTAATTGCTTCCATTGGGAAGCACAGATTCATCGCCGGCCAGGAGAACCAGGAAGCAGCCATAAAAGCGTTTTTGGACAAGGTGAGGGAAGTAGCAGTGATGCACATGTGACTGGGTGCCGAGCCTGAAACTGTCTTGAACTCAAGAAGAGCCTGCTGTGGTAAGAAGGGGCCTGGATTTTATTTAGCCTTCCCGTGATGTCACTTTAAA